AAGCATACGGAACTTCTTAAAATCGCTTAACCACACATTTACCGCAATAGCCCTGACAGAAACATGGCTAACTGATGACACTTGCGATATTGATAATTTTAACATACCAGGATACATAAACTATAACCTTAACCGTAAGTCTAAAGTAGGTGGAGGTGTCTGTATTTATATTAAAGAAAACATTATGGTTAAAACTCGAGAGGATATAACAAATGATTGTAATTCAAACATTATTGAAAGTATTTTTATTGAATTAATACATCCTATAGAAAAGAATACAATCTTAGGTGTAGTCTACAGACCACCGAATAATATGTTTAGCGGTTTTGACTGAAGACAAAATTAAGTGTGCTCTAAGCAAAATAGATAAAGAACTTAAAGAATGTTATATTCTTGGAGATTTTAACATAGACCTTCTGAAACACGAAAAATGCGAATATTCTGCACGATTTCTAAATCAAATGATGTCAACTATGTTGTTGCCGATCATATCAAAACCTACACGAATAACAAGTAAGACAGCAACACTTATAGATAACATATTCGGCAGGTACAAAACGCAGGTTGCAGGTTGGAATTTTGCAGGTTGGGAATTTTGCAGGTTGGGAATTTTGCAGGTTGGAATTTTGCAGGTTGGGAATTTTGCAGGTTGGAATTTTGCAGGTTGGGGATTTTGCCGCTTGGAATTTTGCAGGTTAACAGGAATTTTGCAGGTTGATGATGCTACTATAAAGTATTCTAATATATTAATTTTATTGTGTACTTATTGCAGTCTGACTCCTTGTTGCCGCTTTTGATATCAGCCTATCCTGCTACCATGTTCCTAGCCTCTGCTCATCACCCTTGTGAAAACATTCAAAATGACCAGATTGGCTTGGATCTTCAGGGGGACGAATGTTTCGATTGTTGCGAGGAGCCTACATGACGTGGTGGCAGTTCAGAAAATGCTTGAATGATCGAGGTGTCTCTCCTCTGGACCCACTGATGAGACCACTCAAGCCCCCAATTACCGTATCATTACTCGAGAGTTAGTTAACTTGTAACAACATTCTAGTATAAACGCCGCCACATCATGTAGGCACCTCGCAACAATCAAAACATTCGTCCAGGGGCGTAGGAAGCTTCTAAAAGTTGGGGGGGCAGGCTTTGAGGGGCACTTTCCAATAAGAAAGGGCATCTAAAAATTTTTTTCCCGGAAATGTTGGCGACGGGGGGAGGTCTCAAAAATTTTTCCGGACATACCAGAAAAAAATTTTCCGGATATATCCAATTTTCCAAAATATGAAAAAAATTTTCCGGAAATACCAAAAAATTTTTCGGACATATCATATTTTTTCCCGGAAATGAAAAAAATATTCCGGAAAATAACATAAATTCAAGTTTCGAAAAGTTCGCTTTGGGCAAAAAAAGGCAATCCTTAAAACATTTTTAACGCAAAAAAAGGGCGCTTTGCTCCTGGAAAAAGGGCGCTTGGCAAAACTTGGGGGGCCTGGCCCCCTGGCCCCCGGTTCCTACGCCCCTGCATTCGTCTCCCTGTAGGTCCAAGCCAATCTGGTCATTTTGAATATTTTCACGGGGTGATAGCCACTAGCCTTAGAGCAGAGGCGCCGACAAGGAGTCAGACTGCAATAAATGCACAACTAAATTATACTAGAATACTAAAAAAGTGGTGTAATTTTAAGTTTGCATTATCAACCTGCAAAGTTCCTGGCAACCTGCAAAATTCCAACCTGCAAAATCCCCAACCTGCAAAATTCCAACCTGCAACCTGCAACCTCCGTTTTGTACCTGCCGATAACATATTTACCAATTCAATACATAAGACACAGCTGAGTGGAATACTATATAGTGACATATCAGATCACTTGCCAATATTTCTAATTAACAATGAAAATGAAACATCGGCTAAACCCAAAGATCAGAATTATATGACTAGATATATAACAAATAAGTCAATAAATAGCTTTGTAGAAGACATGAATGATGAAACATTTCAACAGTCTATAGACCAGGATGATCCAAAAAAATCTTACAATTCATTTATGGAAATATTTCAAGAGAAATACAATAAACATTTCCCATTAAAAAAATCTAAAACAACAAAGATTAGACTAAACAAGAGTCCATGGATCACGCAAGGTATTGTAAAATCCTCACGTACAAAAAATAAACTATATAAAAGATTCATAAAGTATCCTAATAAAAAACACGAAACTAAAATTAATATAAACTCTACAAAAATAAGCTAAATCACATAATAAGAATAGCAAAGAAAAATTACTTCAGTAAGAGAGTTGAGGAAAGTAAACATAATATGAAAAAGACATGGGAAGTTATAAACGAACTAATACGAAAGAAAAGAAACAAACCGCAGTTACCAACATCATTCCTACACAAAGGAAAATATATAAATAACCCTAACAAAATAGCGGACAATTTCAATTATTACTTTTGCAATATTGGGCCTAACCTTTCAAAAAAATTTGATAAAATTTCTACAAATTATAAAAAATATCTAGATGGAAACTATAAAAATTCAATGTTTCTATCTGAGATAAAATCGTCAGAAGTGGAACGAATAACATCCCACTTAAAAGCTAATAAAAGGCATGATGAGATTCACCCCAAAGTGATTAAAGAAGTAGGATATAAGATTAGTATCGTACTTTGTCATATATTTAATCGATCTTTCAAAACAGGAATTATTCCCAATGAACTAAAAATCTCTCTTATAACACCAAATCTTTAAAAATGGAAAAAATGATGAATTTGAAAGTGAGCGCCATTTCAACTACAGACCAATATCGGTTCTTTCATGCTTTTCAAAAATCTTAGAAAAGCTAATGTACAAAAGGTTAATTCATTACATTGAAAAAAATAACATTTTACATACCAATCAATATGGATTTTGAAATAACCGATCAACAACAATGGCTATCACTTATTTGATTGAGAAAATCAGGAAAGCAATTGAAAATAATGAGTACACAATTGGAATATTTTTAGATTTATCAAAAGCATTTGATACCGTTAACCATTCAATTCTATTTGAGAAACTTGAATTTTATGGAATAAGGGGATTACCTCACAAATGGTTTAAAAGTTACCTAACAGAACGTGAACAAATTGTCTAATTTAATAAAACACTATCGACAAGAAAACAAATTAAATGTGGCGTTCCTCAAGGCTCTTTTCTAGGACCATTACTATTCTTATTATATATAAATGATATATCTAACTCTAGTAATTTGACATCATTCATAATTTTCGCAGATGACACAAATCTATTTTACTCTGGAAAAAACATTGTACAACTGGAATCAATAGTAAATAATGAAATTAAGAAAATCTCTGAGTGGCTTAATGATAATGAATTAACACTTAATGTTAAGAAGACAAATTTTATTAACTTTAAGACAAAGAAAAAGAAACTAAATCATAATATAACAATAAACATAGGGAATAATCAGCTATCTCAAGTGAATATCGATGAACATTTAACATGGAATGACCATATAAATTATGTAGCAAATAAAATATCGAAGACAACTGGTATACTCACAAAAACTCGTCACTTTCTGAGTACTAACACACTAATAACATTATACAATACGCTTGTTTACCCATATCTATATTATGGTAATATAGTGTGGGCTAATAATTATCCATCCTGATTAAAAAAAATCATAAAAATCCAAAAAAAAGCAATTCGGATTGTTACATTCAATCCATAAATTGCAAAGTCAGCGCCTCTTTTTCAACAGCTAAAATTATTAAACCTTAATCAAATAAACGATTTATGTACTAGCCTTTTCATGTTTGATTACATAAATGGAAACCTACCAGCCTCATTTAATGATTATTTTACCACAAATACTAAAATACACCATCATGACACCAGAAAGTCAAATTCTATTCACAAAAAATATTTCAGAACAAATTACGGGAAATTCTCAATTACTACCATTTGCAATCAACTGGTCAGTGTCCAAATTTTTTCATGATGTTTACGTTTCAAAACGTTATGTTATGTCAGTCACAACGTCACGTTATTGCCGCGGAATGTACACGTTTACATCCGGTTTTGACATGTTTTCAATCAATTTTGAAATGTTTACACGCCCATTACATGTAGTTTGCCAAATTGTTCTGAACACCACTCATTCGCAAAAGAAAAATTCAATAAGAAAATGTCAGTTCAAATTAAAATACTTTACGGTGAAGACTTTTCTCGCTGCAAAATACATTCGTTATTTAAAAGTGAATTAAGTTGCTTATATTTAGCAGATTTTAAACGCATAGTACAAAACACAGTTGGCGGATTTATGAGCGGTGTTGACAGCCAAACTACTCGAATTCAATACAGGGATGATGAAAAAACGGTTGTTACCATGATGGATGATTCTGATCTGAAAGATGCAATACGATGCTTGACAGCAGTGCCAAATACAGATGGCATTTTTAGAATGTGTGTGCGAGTTCACGACGAGGTTACACCTATTGGAAAGAATAGAAATGCTTCTAAAACAAATACTACAACGCCAATGGAATCAGGTACTGAAAATTTTACTTTTGATCGCTTTTATAATGATCCTGATAATCAGAATAATTGTTCTGAAACAATCCGTAAACGACGACTTGACTTTTATAAAGGGAAACAAATAGACAAATCGGAAATTTTTATGAGTAATACGCAACCAAAAACGAAGCGTACGCATACTGCAAATACATCCACAATCGCGAAAGCTCGGCCAACTTGTCATGAATTACACGAGCCCGAAACTCTTATAAACACTCCGATCCAAAGATACTTAGCTAAAACTGAACAAAATATTGAAGAAAAAGATCAAAGGATACAAGAAGTAATGATGGCAGAATTAAATGTTAAAAGCAGAATTGAAAGAGCAAAGAGTAATAACGTGGGACAGGGAAATCTCTGTAGGAATTGTCATATGCGACTTCGTCATACTGCGCGAAATTGTGAATTTGACAAGTGCACTTCTGTTTTTCAGTGCGGAGAAGATAAGTTGCACACGGGCGAAGTTAATTTAAAACAAATGGCGCAAAACGTAAAAAAGCTAAAAACTGAAAAAGAAAAACTAATCGAGGAGCTGGAAAACAAAAAATCAGCCGCTGAAAATTTAAAGGACAATATCCTAAATAAATTAGAGGACTCGTTACTCAATGCAGATCCAGTGTCATATAATATAGGGGGGGTTAAAAACTGGAGTCTACTTAGGAAACATGTTTTCGTTCTGCGAAAGTACTGTCAAACTACACTGCATGGCCGAATTCCGCCAAAGCATGAGATTTTGACTTGTCTCGAAGCTGCCCTAACATCTAAAGATTGCACAGGGATAGATATATCTCTCAAACAAAGTAAGAAAAAACGTGAAAACCCGGCCAGACCCACGTTAGAAAGGTATGGAATACAATTTCCAACTCGTCACAGGGAATCTCACGACTCTGAACTTGAAGATTCTGATGAAGAAACATACCTCGCAACATACGACCGTGTTAGATCGTGTAGTCCTGATTTAAAAAGCAACCGTGCGAGATCGTGCAATCAATCTTGGATTGATCGAATTAAGCCTACGAATGAGCAAGAGGAGAATGAGCAACTTAGACTTGCTTTGTCTGCTAGTTACGCGGAAAATGAGTGTCAACATGAACGCGGTCAGTATGGCATTGAGTCAACCTACTACAGTCGCTCAACATTACCTCGTTCAAAACCATCTTCTAGTTGCAACTCAACAGCATCTAGTTCTGCTGGTACTGTGCAGGAATCAGTCAATATTAACGAAGTCACTTGCACTGTAAACGATGCAGCAGCTGCCCTACTTTCATTGCGAAATTTGGATAGTGATACCACTTGAATGAGCAGTTTTTGAATGTCAGTTTTAAACGTATTTTCACTATTTATGACACTGTTGTTGCTGTCATTGTCAATTTGGCATTGACAATGCCGACATTGTGCTTTGTTTATATTTATACTATACGAGAACAAACTTTAATATTTTGTTAATTATGAATAGGCTAGCAGAACAGTTTTGTTGTTGTTGTTGTTGTTGTTGTTGTTGTTGTTGTTGTTGTTGTTGTTGTTGTTGTTGTTGTTGTTGTTGTTGTTGTTGTTGGTATGTTCCAACTAACTCAGTTGGTTCTAGTATTATTAATACTGTACACAATGCAGTTATATTACTGCAGGGTAAACCTCGGGGTAAACTTTAATATTAAACTGAATACAGTGATATGCAGTGTTGTGATTGTGATGAAATGTTTATTACAGTAAAAATGTCCTTCGAAATTTTTCCCGCACATACAATAACGGTATTACAGTAAATCTTTCGAGAATTAATATACAGTAAACATATTTAACAACTATAAATCAAGGAAATAAATATGAAGTGTTTTTGAAAAAGCCCACCATGTCCTCATGAGAAATCTTTTCGATTGCAAGCATTGCTGATAATTTCATATTTGCCGACGTTATTTCTTTAAGTTCGTAATTCATAACTGTCTTGATTTTATTGAAAGAATGCTCAATGGGGTTTAGGTCAGGAGAAAAAACCGGAGTATATAGCAATTCAACACCCATTTCTTGCAAGTATTCCTCGAGTACTTCCCCGCTTTCGTAATGATGAACCGATAAGTTGTCCATCACTAGAATGTCGCGTATTTCGAGAGCTGGACACAACGTTTGTAAATTAACAGCATTCGAAGCTTTTCCAAAAAAATTTAAAAATTCGTAAGTATTTGAGGCCCCGTCAATGATATCATAGTAGGGAGCTTAAGCATGTAGGACGGCAACACGACGACGACGGCAACCAATACAATGAGTCAATGAAAAGAAATAAATAATCAAAGTCCCAGGGGAGTTTCAGACGTGGTCATCGTTCTGTTTACAACGGCAAATCACAGATTTTCACGTCTTTTATACAACGCCTGCATTTCAAGGCGTAACAAGTGCAACTTAAAATTCGGTCAGTAGAACTCTTCCCAAACATAAAGCCAATGTTTTCAGCTTCTTATACTGTATTAAATTCATACGAATTATAATATACGACAAGTTTTCTTTACTATAATTTATTTGAAGGAATTTGTTTTGGCCGTCGTCGTCGTGTTGCCGTCCTACATGCTTAAGCTCCCTAGTAAATAAGCAGGGACGCCGAGAGGGGAGGGCCGCGCCCTCAGTTAATAGGGGGAGGGAAACAATGTAAGGAATTTGAAATTTTCTTGAAATCCCTAGCCCCCCCCCCCCAGCGATTGCCAAAATTTTTTGGAAAAGTTAGGGCACCGAATAAAAAATTTGCCCCGGGTCCCCGAATTTCATTGGGCGGCCCTGTAATATGGCTTATTTTCATTGTTGGTGAGAAGTAAATACTATAGCACAAATTCGAAATTACAAAATGTAATTTGCCTTATTACCCGTTTGAGAGGGTAATTAAATTTGTAATTGTAAGGGAAAGTACATTTATTATGCCGAGGGGG